TATGATTAGGAAAGAGTTTTAAAACTTATTTTATTAAGTTTATTAGATAATATATAGTATATATATTGAGATTATAAAGTAATTTTGTTATCTGTATTTTATATATATATAATTTATCTAAATCTTATAATAAAGCCATTTGATTAATTTTCTAGAAATTTTATTTTATATAACTTGTTATTTTTTAATCAAGAAATCAATATATTTAAATATTATTAATGTATTATTTTTACTTAATTGAATTTAGATTAGATTTTATTTAAATTTTTTGTATAATTATAAAAATAAAAATAAAAATAAAAACTAAAGATAATATTATTTTTAATAATAAAACTCTATCTTAATTTATTATATTTATTTGGAATTATTTTTTATTACTATTTGTAATTAAATATTATTATTTAATTTCTATTAGACTAATAAGAATTAGAAATATTTAAAGTTATAATTGCCAAACAAGATAATTATTTTTATATTTAAAGTACTGGTTAGGTTCAAGATCTTATACCTATTTTTATAAAATAATTAATATTAAAAAAGATTATTTACTAAATTAGAATAAAACCATTTTTGTAAATTAGATTTTAAAAATATTAAATATTATAAAAAAAAAATTGCTAAACTATTTTTACTCTAAATTAAATGTTTTTAATATTTTCTGTAATATTTCTAATAGTTAAAATATTGTTTTATCAAAAAATCAAATCTTTTTTTAAAGATATTTCTTTATCTAAATAATATATATTTTTATAATCAATAATAAGTATAAGAGTTTTAAAAGTAAATTATTTTTATAATCTATATTTATTAAATATCTTAAAAATGGTTTATAAAATAATTTAATATCTATATTTAACAATTTAATTTTCAAAGTTCTTATAAAAAGTCTTGGATTATAATGTAAATATTAATTAAATATTTTTAATTCATATACAATAATTTTTTAAATTAATTTTATTGAATTTTTTAGAATTACTTTTTTTAGAATTTAATTTTTTAAAATTATAATAAATAATTAATATAGTTATATCAGTTTTAGAATATTTTTCTTTGTAAAAGTAATCTTATTTTTTCATAAATATAATATAATTTGATATTGTATATGTTTTTTAGAAAATTATATTATAAGAATAAGTTTATAAAAATAATAAAACCAGTTAAAAAATTTAATAATATATATATATTTATTAAAATATGTTATTTATATGTTTAAAATTTATATAAATTGCTTTTGTTTTGAAAAAGTTATTTATATTTATATCATATAAAATAAAAATTTAAAAGTTTTGTTATATATTATATTTTAAAAAAAGCAAATGACTAATTATATTATATTTTATTTTATTTATTATAATTTTAGATTTATAAAATACAAAATTACAATTTTTATAATATAGCATATGTCTCTTTTTATTAGAATAAGTTTAATATAAGATTTAATATATAGTTTTACTCTTGTATTTTTTGATAATATTAAAAAAATATAAAAAAAAAAAAAATTCAAAACCTATTTTTTAAATTGCTTTGCAGGCAAATTTACTTGCAAAATTAAATAATAGTAATATTTTTAAATAAAACAATAATTTATTAATAATATATAAGTTATTATTTATTTTATATAAAAATATTTTTAAGAATCTATTTCATAAATTTTATTATAAAATTTTTATAAAGAAAATTAAATTTATTTATTCGAAAATAGAAAATCAATTTTAATTTTCATTATCAAATTATCAATTATTTATCATAATAGAATTTTTTTACTTGTAAATAATGATTGGATATTATTTAATCAGTATATTAATTTAAAAATATTTTTTAAAATGTAAATATAGATTAAATAATTATTTAACATTTATTATAATTTATTGTTAATTCATGTAAAAAATGTTGTTTTTTTCAAAATATATGTAATAAAGAAATAGTGTTTATTTATTTTAAAAAAATTGGTATTAAAGGTTTACATACAATATCCAACATATCATCATAAATACAATAAATAAAAAAATCGACAAGGGTTATAGGTTTTCTTATGAGTAAGAAGATGAATTTATTTCTATTTTTAAAATTAAATTTCAAGATCATTTATTATAAACAAGTGTTTAAGTAATAGTTATCTTATCTATCTATCTATTTATTTTTCATACTAAAGCAAGTATTTATTGCGGTTATTTAAATAATAATTATAATATATACTGTATACTGTATAATTCTTATATTTTAAAACTGCTAAAAAGAAAACTTATAGAGTCATGGGTGTTGTTGTTTAATCGAAAAGGATATCTAAAGAATCAGACTTGAATGTCGAGGCCCTTGGCTATTTGGCCGCGTACAGGATCCAATTTGGAATTTTAATAACATTATTTAAATATTATAAAAAAAAAAAAATTTTTTTAAACAGATTTGTTATAATAAAAAAGATAAGGTATACTTTCTCATTTTTCTATAATTAAACCAAATATAGTATAATAATTAACAATAATTTAGAAATAGGACAATAAATGCAAAAAATCGTATATAAAGAGAATAGGGAGTAGTAGAATGATTTTAAACCAGTTTTTTCTTTTTTAATTTGATCGTAACCCTTCAACTTCTTATTTTCATTTTATCTAAAAATTCTAAATCCCAAACTTTATCGACGGATAAAGCATTTGATTAAAATAAGGGTTTTTTCGACTATTTGTTCTGTCGTCTTGGAAGTTGGTTTTTGTGAAATGTTGATTATTAATTAGTAAATTAAGTATTATTCTCTTTCATTCATGATTGAAGATACGTAATTGTAATCTTGTTCACAACGATGTATATTATTCCAAAGGATCATACGATACGTCGCAAACGGTTATTTTATAACCTTAAATAATAAATATATAGTATGTTTTCTAATAAAAACGCAAATGTGATTACTAAAAATAATAAGATTTATTTATTTTGGTTTCAATGAATGACGATCTCAACCAAACTAATCGGTTGTGTACTTGATGTCATCAAAAAATTCTTGTGATCCTCGTTGTTTTAATACAGTAAGTACATGCTTTATCTTCATGCACCTATTAATATAATTCATTGGATGAAGTGAAAAACATGAATTAATTAAAATTACGTTTAACTTTGATCATTTCTAATCAATAAGTGATAAAATGTAACAAAAAATTTTTTGTTTGTAACGAATCAAATTTCGATTGAAGCTTCGTGATAAGCGCAAAGAAGAAATACTTGATTTATCGTTGAATGATCGAATAGCGGCGTTTAATTTGTGCGGTACCGAGCCTTATCGCACTTTTTTTTCGAATTGATCACATGAAACAAATTCCAAGTAAAATGTACAGTAAATCAAATTTGACCATTAATATTGAATAAATTTGCCAAGTCACGCTTACATACCACACATACCATATATATAAACTTAATCCGAGGCGATAAAACTCGTGCTAACAAACAAAAAGCGAATCTTCTCCTTAAGTGTCTCAGAGTGCAAATATAGAGAGCTCTGTAATTGTTTTTTTCACAAAGGTTCAATTGTGTGACTATGAGGTTGTCGAATCCACTTTTTCTTTGTTCGATTTTTTTGCATCTCTCGATGTAAACGAAATCCACTATTGTTTGATCAGAATGATTTAAAGTTCATTCCACATTTGGTTAAACCATTTTTTCTTGAAACCGAATCTGCATGATTATGTGCGTTCTTTGTTCGCATCGTATAAATTCCGCAGTTCCTTAATTTTCTTTATGCTTTTATTGAAAGGAGAACTTGCAAATAATGGAATAGAGGAAAATTTACACACAAAGAATGCTATACTGCGTGTGACCTAGAAAATCGATAATCTAACCGGTTTTCATAACTGCGCGTGAATTAGCTAATCTCCCTATCTCCTTACTTGGTCGAAGGAAAGACACGTGTAATTAGAATCGTGGAATTCACATGACTTTGAAAAATGGTAACTAGTTTGGCAAAAAAAAAAACCATTGCCCTGCCCTGTTGTTAATATTCGAGCTATTTAAAAACGTATCTTGGTTAATAATAATTTGCACCAAGAAAAAAAAACAACAAATTTAGAATCCCTCGTTCCTTATTTGTTTGCATAACGCCACAAAGCCAACTCTCACACAGAGCTACAAAAATATACAATAATGCAATATTTATTATTTATTATTATTATTATTATTATTATTATTATTATTATTGTAAGGAATGGATATTTGCTCTCACACGTGTGATATTCTCAAGCCGAGTAATAACCGCAAATTTTCAAAATAATGTGTTATTGATCATTGTGCCGTTTGGTCGTCCCCTGAGGGTGGGTTGCAAAAGAGTTCAGAGTTTCGTCGTTGGTTTTAATTAAATGTTTGGCAGAGCTTTGGATAAATGAATTTTGATCCGTTTCATCAATTTCAATAAGATTTTATTTGTCGCATGTCGATTATCATATTTGTTTCAACATTCTCACACATCAATTTATCATTAATATTGCCCCCCAAAACCAAGAAAAAGAGATATTCATCATCATTTATTATTATTTATTATTTTTATTCATAATCATAAGTACCTTAAGAGAGTGTAGTGGTAATACAAAAAAGCTTTTTTAAATCACGTTGTTGTAAAGAGACATGGCAATTTATCCCATGCCATTACTAATCTAGCAGCAAAACTTGCCAAAACGATTTTAATGTGATACCGAATATGTTTGATTTTTTTGCCAATGCGTTTTAAGCCAGTCATTTTCGAATACGTAATAATAAAAATCTCCGTAATCTCCGAACCCTCCCCCAAAAAAATGTGAAAAAGAAAGAAAGAAAATTCTAAATGGTACATACCAGAGTGACAAGTGACTGTGGTTTATTGAGAAAAAACATTTGTACATATCTGTGAATGATATTTTTTGTGAAGCATAGAGAAGATAATCCATAATTCAATTACACTATTTGCTAATAGCAATTTTGTGACAAAGGTGCCATAATCGTAATAATGATAATTGATGTGATCATCAAACAACGATGTATTATTATTGCTGCTGCTGTTGCGGCGACCAAAGATTAAAATAATAAAATAATCGCTCCGAGTCTTCGACAAAATTTTCATCGTTATCAATGAATTGATTTGAGATCAAACTTTCTTGACCGTTATTTGAATGTTCAATTTGCGATGAAGTTTGATGATGGGGTCTTTGATCAAAAGGAAGAATAGGTGGGGATGGAATTTGAATAGGTTCTTGATCAAAAGAGTTCATCGGTGGCGTCGGTAGTTGATAAGACTTGTGACGGTCGTCCATGGTGAGGGTGGACGGAGTTGGATACGGTTTATACGCCACAGGTCTCAGAGGGACATTCCGGGAAGAAGCAGCGAGGAGAGCCTGCTGCTGCTGTCGATATAGAATGGTATGCCTTTGAACATGAATTTCATTCACTTGATCGGCAAGTCTTTCATAAACTTCCTTTTCTTCTAGAGAGGCATTACGCCACAAAATCCCGGTGACTTTACTTATGACACGCATATTACAAGTTCCACGACGTTTTGCTTCTTGGTGAACATTCTTACGGCAAAGTAAAAATGCATTCGGTGGTCTACGTGGACGTCTGCATGAAGCTGGTGCATTGATAGCGGTGGCGGGCGCAACAAAAGACTCGGGGTTGCTATATTGTGGAGGAAATATCCTTTCTCGATCTAATCTACCAATCAAAGAATTGGCCAAATCTTCAATTGAAAAGTTCGAGGTTGTCATCTTATATTTATTTAAACTTTTAAACTGTGTCTATATTGTGTGTATTTGTTTTGGTTTTTTTTTTTTTTTCTTTTTTTTTTTTTTTTTTTGAAAGCTGTGGTAAAAACGACTACCTCTTTATATCATTTATAAAATTATTAGCAGTGTAGTACAAACGATTTGTGCAACACGACAAACTGATGCGGATCAAGGTTGTAGAGAACCTTCAAATATTTTTTAATTCGAATAAAAAGAAACCACAAAATCTTAGGAATTTATGTAAATTTGTGTAAATTAGATCAGGTTTTACTGGTGAAAAAGGAAAATAAATGTGCAAATTTCGAAGGAGGGAACTCGGGAAAAGAACGAATATTTAAGTTTTCACTGGAACCAATGGAAATTCGTTTTGACACAATTATTACTGCCGTGGTAACTGGAGTATTAAGAATTCAGATTTTACGATAAACCTCAATTGTCATTGAAAGACTTAATTGTAAATATTAATAATTGTGACACCTTCAGGCATTGGTAAATTAAATGTTAAATACTGCTTTTGTCTTACGAAAGGATTGTTCCATTTAGAACATGCCGAGACCTAATACGTAACAAGAAATGAACAGCATCACAATGTCAAACAAAAAAACATACATATTTGTCGGAGACATAACAGAACCAATCAATTAATTAACCGAAGATGGAAGAGAAAGAGTACGTGTTTGCTTCATTCATTTGTGGCTTCGGTGGTTCATTCCTAATTACGGCGCGTTGTTTTGCCAAGCGTGGATGATGCAACAAATTATGTGATCGTTTTACCAACGCAAAGGAGAAGAGAATTATCCTGACCCAGAATGGAATACAGACTACTAATTGAGGGATTTCTGATTTCACAAATTATTACTTTCGATTATGCAATGCAAACGTTTCTTTATTACTAAGCGTCAAAAAAAGTTTCAATCATTTGCGGTACATAATGACGTGTATAACAAATAAAAATGGTTTGTATTGAAAAAATTTTTTCATTCTGTTCAACAAGATCAAAAATCGAATAGAAAGAAACATAGTCACGTGATGCGTATTTATAAATAGAGTTTATATGCACAAAAAGGACTGAAGATTTTTTAGAGCCGCCGGAGTCCGTGGAGTTGACAATTTTGAACAAATGAATTCTTTATGTGTCTTAAGTATGCGGGCATGTGCGATTTAAATTATTACCCCGCTGAATGGAATTCAGACAGATGTTTCGAAGTGTTAAGTCTTACATAATGAGAGATGTGTGGGGACACAAGCTTGATTGGGTTTGTTGATCCTCTGACATTGTTATTTTACCAAATTCTCGGGAACTTTTGTAATCATAATAACGTCATTGTTACCATATCTTTCGATTTAATCATGTGTGAATGTACACAATATGCACAAGTTTCTTGCTAAGCCATTTCCAAATCGAAAAAAGAAAACCAGAATTTACTATTTCTGCTACTACATAACGGAAGAACATAATTTCCTTTGATGGGTAAAATGTCGCTTGTTATCTTTATTTAGCTTGTAAACAAGCAATACGTAAAGGCCCTCCAAAACAAAAGTATTGTATACCGTTCCATATCAAAGACACACATTTTGTTGCTCTTTTGTAAAACGGCAAACATTGTTCTCCTTTGCGCGATGGGTAATTACACAAGAAGTCGGATTCTTGGCCGCTCCTTTTGTAAAACGGTAAATTTGGTTCGGATTAATGTGGTGGGTAATTAAGAAGCTGCATTTTGTTGTCCCTTCTGTAAAATGCTAATTTCGGTATTCGGATAGTTAAGATTCCGTATTTATGACTTTTTTTATACATTCCAGAAACTTGTTTTCAGTCCCGAGAAATGATAAAACCCGGTGGTTGGATAGTACATTTAGCCTGCTCTAAGATAACCATGCGAGCGATCAAATTTTGGCTGGTATATTTGAACGATTTGTATAACATGATCTGCCCACAATTGCATTAAAGTTTATGATTCCAAAAATATACCGTGTAACATATATGTATTTATTTTTATTTATTTAAGTTATAATTATAAACTCAACATTAGATTCGCAAAATTGGCAAGTGATCAAATCAGTGTTTAATGAGCACCGTATATCCGCGGTCTAAAGTAACCCCTCGTAAAATATTTCCGGTTATTATATAATATTTTAATGGTACATATATTCAATTGCTTCATTAAAATATTCATATAACAACTAACAACCGGAAACATTCTACGGGGAGTACTTTAGACCGCGACATACGGTAGGCGTAGATGCTTGTAACCTAAGCGATTGTTGTTGGTTTTCGAATTTAACATACAATACCTTCTTTTTTAATTGATTTTGTTCGTTTTTTTCTTTATATTATCGGAACGTACGATATTTGCAGACTCTCATGAGATCAACGTAATAATGATAATCCGAGACCGATTGTGCTTAGTCACGTTTTTTTGCACGATCAATTACGCAATGTTACATTCTATTTTTGGATGGGTTTTATTTATATGCTATCCAAAAAAAAGCAAAAAAAACAAAAATAGTACTAAACATGCAATGAATTTCCGTCATTGGTGAAACTCTAGAGATGAACGGGTCGATAATAAACAAGAAAACAGAGCATCATTTAATTTCCAATTTTATCATTACGCAAAAAAACTCTGCTCAAAATATTTGCAAGCGTCATCTGACACCACGATTAGCCCGAGGAATGATTAAAAAAATGGCGAATACCATCGAACTATATTCAAGACTTCCAAGGTGGTTGTTGTGCTTTGCGAAAGTTGGTCCGTTCGATTAAGAACAACTGATTTCTGTTGATTTTTCCTTACGTATAAATCATGCTTAAACTCAAGTGTACGTTATTTTTACTAATATCGACTCCAAACAAACAATAGGTGACAGAAAACAAATGAGAATATCAATTTTTTCCGCAATTTTAAATTTATGCTAAGAGGTTAAACGCTTCGGAGTAGGTTTCGCTATTTGAATGGGTCAAGGGCACCTGTATTATTTCAATGTTATCTTAAAATACCGATTTTCCAAGTTCCTGATGACTGCCGATCCTTCGAATGTTGATAATACAAATGCTTAAATGCAAGAAGAATTATGGAAGTCCACGTCCAAACATTTTTTTTAATAATATGTCATTATTATTTTTCCTGACCATTCTCTACGACAATTGTCCTTATTCAAAAAGATTTTGTCGGTTAACCATACCAATACCCACATTGTATTCGATTCACTAATGGACAAGAGTGCGAGTTATACAACCTGCTAACTTCAAGAATGCTTCTTGTCCAATAATTTGTAAGTGCATTGAAAAACTTTTTCTTCGATTTTTTTTTCTTCGGAAATTTATGAGAAGGGAAAGGTATTGCAAGAAAGCGTATGTCAACCAAAGTGAATCCATATTAACAAGGAAGTGGCGTTTTATGCAACTTACAGGTCCGCTGGAGGAAGAAACTTGGGCTAAATATTTATATTTTTGGTTATTACCTTCTGCGAGTGTCTCTTTAATGTGTTCTTTCTGGCTGAAATCATCTATTCATGATTTTGCAGTGGAAATTTCCATACACGGTAAGTTTGAAGAGAAGTTTCTCTGCAGCATACGTAATTAAGAACATGCACTGGTTAATTTGCCTTAACAAGGATTAATGGTTGATCACACCCGCATACAGTAATTACTTAAATTTGATAACCACATACTGTATATTCTCAACATGGTTAATCTCGACAGCGTAAGCAAAACCCTTGTTCAGAGATGTCGTCTTGAAAAACCCAATTAAAAAAATGAGCCGAAACTTATTAATCGATCCGTTTTTTAGTCATAAATCACAAAGTATTTCGATGTCTCCTATAGTTCAGAAGGATTGCATTTTTAGTAAGTTCTTATAAACCAACACCCGTGATATTTTTATGAATATACCAATATTTTCCAATACTAAATTTATTGTTATAAATCAATATACTGTATATAATATATATTGTATATAGCAGAGATGTTTTTTCCAAAAGGGGGATGTTTTCCCTTGAAATTGAATCCAATATGAATAAATAAAGTTAGTCTTTACTATGCATATCGTATCCCATATAGGTTCAAGT